CACACACACGCACTCACACACACACACACACACACACTCTCACACACGCACACACACACACTCTCTCACACGCACTCTCTCACACACACACACACACACACTCTCTCTCACACACACACACTCACTCTCACACACACACAAACACACATGCATGTCTGATCAAACATGGGAAAGAACCTTCAGACTGAATCTCTTCTTTCTCTTATCTGTCACATGACTAAACGAGCTCTCAGTCGTGCATGTGTTGGTTTGATCAGATTAACGTCTGTCGTGTTCGGAGCCGTCGCTCTGAGTGATCTTTGAACCGCCAAACCTGATGCAACCTGATGAAACCGTGTTGTCACACACTCTGCACACATGATCGCCTTCATTCTTCCCTTCAGACGCAGCTCAGGTCAATGAGTTTGTGTTGCTTTTCTTGTTCTGAAATCTAAAATGCATAGAAACGAGTCTAATTCTATTTAATTTATTTATTGTTAATGATGTCCACTTATAATGTTAGTCAGGCTTCTTCTTAGCACAAAAAAAACAGATGTAATATAGTTGTTAATCAACATTTTCCCCTTTCTCTGAAGAGTTTTTCAATGGCTGAAGACTAATACAATGCCCATTTATGTGCGTAAAATAAAAAGAAAATAGAAAAATTATAAAAAATAAAAAAATAAAATCACAGTGTTTTAAATTAAATAAATTAGCACACTATTTACTACATTACTCACAGTTGTAATTTAGTTGTGAATGAACTAAATTGCAATAAATTGCCCTTCTCTCTGAGAAGTTTGTCAATGGCTGATAAAATAAAATAAGATAATAAAATAACTAATTAAATAATAAATACATTTGCACCATTTTTTTTAATGAAACAAATTAGCACAATATTTACTATAATAATCACAGTTGTTATTTAGTTGTTAATCACTATTTTCCCTTCTTTTTAATGGGGTTTTAAAATGCTTATAAATAAAAGTATAAATAAAAAAATAAAATACAAATAAAATCACACATTTTGAAATGAAATAAATTAGAAAATTTTTACTACATTACTCAAATTTGTAATTTAGTTGGGAATAACAAAAAAAACGCTTCATTCTAATGGGTTTGTCAATGGCTGATAACATTTCCATATATGTGTAAAATATTTATAGTATATATAAAAAATATAAGTTAAAAAATGAATAAAAAAAAAATTAATGTATAAATGACCAAAATAAAATCTTTTTGAAATTAAATAAAATAAGGACAAAAGTTGTATTAAATTCACATTTAGTTAAAATGTCCTTTTCTATGATCGGTTTGGCCAATAAAATATCAGAATAAATGATCCGAATCATTTAGTAACAAAAATATATATTTTACATTTGTTTCACTTTGACGCAGTACATCAGACTTTCAAGACCAAGCAGTTCCGGTTCTCTGTGATTCGAGTCCTTTAACAGAAGGAAAGCTGAAGGTTTTGTGGTTGTGTGTGTGTTCAGGCGAAGCGCCCGTGAGATCGTGTGTGTGACTCCAGAGGGTTTGGGTTCAGGAGGGACCCCAGTGATGGTGGACATAAACGCAGCCGAGCTCAGAAACCCGGAGGTCAAGTTCAACTACACAGACGACCCCAGCATCCTGAAGATAGAGCCGGACTGGAGCATCGCCAGGTCAGACTCATGAACACACTGCCACCAGCGTGCTTCAGCGTGAACATGCGCAGCTCAGTCTCTGGAGGTTTGAGTAACACCACAGTCTGCAGACGGCAGAGAAATGCTGCAAACACACTCACTCTGAGTGTTTCACATCCACAGGGAGAGACACATGAGTGATGAAAGAGAGAGAGAGAGACCGGTTAAGCAGGTTAATACTCCAGCGGTTTGCTTTTATGCTGGAAATCGTGGAAGTTCGTTTACGACATTTAGAAGCAGCGTTCACATACACAAATAACACCTAACAATTACCATTTCCTGACTAGTTATACTGATTTAACATGGCTATTTGTTGGCATTTTCTTTGCAAATTAACATATATATATATATATATATATATAGGCATTTTCATTGTATTTTTAAAGTTCTATGGTATTATGCACTACTAAATGTCAAAGGTTTGGGGTCAGTAAGATTTTTGTAAATCTTTGAAGTCTCTTTTGCTCACTGAGGCTGTATTTGTTTGATCAAAAATACAGTAAAACACTAAAATTGTAAAATATTTTTGCAATTTAACAGCTATTTTCTGTGTGAATATCTGTTAAACTGTAATGTATTTCTGTGATGCGCAGCTGTATTTTCAGCATCATTGCTCCAGTCTTCAGTGTCACATGATCTTCAGAAATCAGTATAATATGCTGATCTGCTGCTCAAGAAACATTTCTGATTATTATCAATGCTGAAAACTTCACAACAAAGTTGTGCTGCTTCATGTATTTATGGAAATTGTGATACATTTTATATTTCCGGATTATTTGATTCAAAGAGAGTTCAAAAGGAACAGCATTTGTTTGAAGCAGAAATTATTTTGTAACATTATAAGTGTCTTTAATGTCACTAATGTGTCCTTGTTGAATAAAAGTATTCATTTCTTTAAAAAAAAGACAAACCCCAAACTTTTGAATGGTAATGTACGTCATTCTTCACCTTTAACAGTTCAGTAGATGCTTTTAATGCAGTAGGTGTGCATCAAATCTCCACTGATTGGCTTCAGAAGGAAATCCAGATGTTGTGTGAGGTGATGGATGGTTAGCAAGTTGTTCATGTTTTCTAGATGTTTACGTTGCTGTTTTGCTCTCTGTTAGTGGTGGAACCCCGTTAACGGTGATTGGAAGCAACCTCGCCAGCGTCAGAGAGCCGAAGATGAGAGCCAAATACAGCAGCGTCACTTCAGTCAACGTAAGTCTCTAACACACACATTCATCATCATTCTTATCATTGGGTTTATCAGCATTATTCCTTCCTTTCTCTCGATATTCATACCCAGTAGTTTAGCACTAGTTTAATATTTTAAAAAGTATTTCTGCAAAAATATTAAGCAGCTTCAACATTGATAATAATCAGAAATGCTTCTCGAGCAGCAAATCAGCATATTATACTGATTTCTGAAGATCATGTGACACTGAAGACTGGAGGAATGATGCTGAAAATACAGCTGCGCATCACAGAAATACATTACAGTTTAACAGAGATTCACATAGAAAACAGTTATATTAAATTGTAATTATATATCAGATTTTTACTGCTTTTACTGTATTTTTTATAAAATAAATGCAGCCCTCATGAGCAGAAGAGACTTCTTTCAAAAACATAAAAAAACCAGACCTCAAACTTTTGAACGCTGCAGTCTAGACTAGTTTTATGGTGCTTTTTGTTCCCTCTGAGCTCTAAAGCAGCAGGAACAGACAAACGAGTATACCTGCACATGTTTTTCTTTGCGTATGTGTGACATTGAATCACCTTTTCCCAGTTTAACCTTTAAAATGTCAACGGCTGACGGGATATAGAACATGAAATGGCTCTATAAAGCCCTGAGAAAGTCCCGCAGGGCGAATGTGACCTTTTCTTCTCCTTGACCCGCTCATCTGGCTGCTGTTTTCCTCCTCTCTGCTTCTTGTGTCTTCACTTTAATGGCTCTGAAGCAGCGTTAGTGTCTTCAGTAATGCTTTTAATGTTTGCTGTCTCTCACAGAACTGCACTGTGCTGAATAACACCGTGATGGTGTGTCTGGTGCCGTCTGTGGCGGGGTCCGAGAGGGGTTTCTCAGAGGCGGGCAGCGGGCCGGATGAGATCGGCTTCATCATGGATAACGTTCAGACGCTGCTGGTGGTGAACGAGACCTTCAGTTTCTATCCCGACCCTGTGTTTGAACCCTTCGGTCCGTCCATGCTGGAGCTCAAACCGGGATCTCCTCTCATACTGAAGGTGAGGAGATCTCATTACACGTGTTGGAGCTGTTATACTGCATTTCTTTAGTTTTATAGCATAATAATCCCCCTCAGAGCAACACTGCAACTATAAGGCCACCTGCATGTCTGTTGTTGCATTTATGCACAGTTTTTACAGTGATATTGGAGTGATATTTCTCAAACATGTTATTAGTACCAGCATTATTCTAGTTAAGTAAAGCCATAAAAAAACTCAATCTAAAACCATTCGTTACTTGAAATAAAAATAAGCGTGAACTGAAATAAAAAAAATGAAAGAAAGTTTAGTTTGCTAGACGCCAAGACTGAAATTAAAAAAGTAATAAAAACTTAACTTAAAAACTTTAATTATGTAAAATATAAATAGTAGGAGAAAAATTTGAGCTTAAATTATTTGGAAAATTAGAAATGTTGTCTTGGCAGCTTCAAATAAGTACAAAATGTACTAAAACTGAATCTAGAAATAGAAAAAAATAGACAATAAAAAAAA